TCGCAGCTTGTCATTCAGGGAACACGTTGACCATGTGATAACAAAAGCACGCAAAGGTCTATCTGCAATGAGGATTATGGCTGCTTCCAATATCGAGCAAAGACTACTAATACTTCTATTCTACGGTCTGGTCCTTTCACCCATTGAATACGCTCTGGCCATCCTCACTGTCAGTGCTACCCAGATTGAAAGACTCGAAAAGGTGCAAAATGAAGCCATGCGCATTATTTTGGGATGTACAAGAGACACATCCTGTGAAGCAATGAGGTATCTACTTGACTTTCCAACAATGAACCAAAGGATCAGAATGTGGAGGGCTCGGGCATACCTCAAAATATGTGCTGATAAGAAACACCCACTGCATCAAGCGCTTTTTAGTGAAAAGGGCGACAGACTGAAGAGGGGAAAATCGTGGCTAGGTCGGGCAGAAGATGTTATTAGGCAAATATGCAGCCTAACCGACATCATACCTGGTGCAGAATGGATACCTGTGCCTCAGGCGTTTATTTGTACATTTTCCTGTATTGTCACACTCAACAGGCGATGTAGAGAAGAGAATCCTGTTGCTGTTAATGCAGAGGTCAACGCTCTCATCGGTGAAAATTCAGACGAAGCAGATGCACTAATCTACACAGACGGATCCGTCATACGCCAAAGAAGAAGCGCATGGGCATTTACAGCACGCTCAGCGGGCAGAACAGTCAAAGAAGCCAACGGTGCCTTCTCCATGACAACCAGCAGCATGACGATGGAGGTGATGGCAGTGACGCAAGCGTTTGCCTGGCTTGAAACACAAAAATACACCCGCATATGTATACTCAGTGATTCAATGAGTATGATCCGGAGGGTTCAGGCAGGTTCAGTGCGAAGACAATGGCTTGAATCATTACAGAAGTCCACTGTGCGTGGAGTCACCTTTATTTTTGTTCCGGGACACGCAGGCGTCGATGGAAATGAAAGAGCTGACAGGTTGGCTGGATCCGCTATCACTACCGACGGTCGGCCTATGGATCATGCTGATATTATCAATGCCCTCAGAGAAATGGGAAGGATAGAGGACTTTGGTGGCAGTGAATCCACATCACTCGCCAGAATGGCAGACTTGGGAATTAAGATCGGCACAGCAAAAAACGAGACGCACACCGGACACGTCAGAAGACTTGTTAATCAACATAGAACTGGTACTATTAGCCATCGGACGTTGGGGTTCATACTGAGGGGAGGATCTGAGCACCTATGGACATGTCCGGAGTGCAATGACGATAACCCAACTAACTAACTAACTAACTAACTAACCTTTCTGACTGTATTCAGTTAGCTTGTACACCTGTGCGACTGTATTCAGTGAGCGTGCACAACTTTGCGACTGTAATCGATTAGCGTGCACACCTTTGCCACTGTATTCAGTGAGCGTGCACAACTTTGCGACTGCATTCGGTTAGCGTGCACACCTTTGCCACTGTATTCGGTTATCATGCACACCTTTGCGACTGTATTTGGTTAGCGTGCACACCTTTGCGATTGTATTCTTACTATGTGTTTTCCCCTACTCACAGCGGAACATTGACATCCAGCCAACTCACTGAAAGTTGTGTTCCAGACAGCGTCTACCATATTCTTCCCACATTATTTTTCTATGTCGATATCTCTTTTCTCTACATTTTTTTTTTAGCTTCCCCCCCCCCCCCCCCCCCCCCCCTCACCATGTTTTTTTCAAATTTAATATGATTGTTCTAAAGGAATTATCTTCTGGTTATATTATTAACCCCCCCCCCCCTCCCCCTTTTCCTCCGGGTGTTTACACTGCGATTACTTATTGCGCCAAATGTTCTGTTGCTTAAGAACCTTTCAGATCATTGATATAGCATGACAGTTATACATTTCAACTCTGCCTGGCTATGAATGCTGATCAGTACTTACCCCTTTCCGGGCCGCTTTGAGGTCAGTAATTACAGTCGACAGAGGCCATATTTACCACCCAAGTAGATCTAACCCGCACAGCACTGCAGGTTACATCCAGTTATAATTTCTATAAAAGCTGAACGGTATGTGAAAATTGTCCGGTGGGCTTGCCATCCACTTTGAGATTTTAACATTTCAAACTTTCAGCAACCGAGTGAAGATTTTAAGAACAAAAGAATGTTTACCGTGTAGAAAACCCAACATAGTTTGTGTTTGCGCAGGAAAATAAAAATTGGCAAATAGCTCCCAGGTCACAGCCTGTATATAACAGGGAGTGTTGGAGGCACAGGGCTTTCTGGATACAGTGTGCGGTGTCCTTCTGCAGGATCTCCGGCGTCTAGACCGACAGACCTTTCTGATGATGACTGTTTTCTGTACTCGTGGAGTGTCAGTTCACTTTGGGGATCTGTTGTTGAAACATTGTTGACAAGGTCGTCGCTGGTTGCAGTGTGTAGAACCATGTTTATTCGTATAGGGTGTCGGTGGACAGCGACTCTCTCCCTCTCTCTCTCTCCTTCTCTCTCTCTCTCTCTCTCTCTCTCTCACACACACACACATATTGCTGTTTGTTGTTTTCAAGCTGTCTGTCTGTATATGTATGTCGGCCTATCTATATATATATATATATATATATCTCTTTATTACTATTGTTAGGCCCATTAAATTATCTTTTGTATTGTGTCTTGTATCAGATTATTAAGTTGCAAGCAAAAACACACACACGCGTGCGCGCACACACACACACACACACACAGGCACTTCTCTCTCTCTCTCTCTCTCTCTCTCTCTCTCTCTCTCTCTCTCTCTCTCTCTCTCTCTCTCTCTCTCAGTGCTGTTGGTTGATTTCAAGCTGTCTGTCTGTCTGTATATGTCTGTCGGCCTATCTATATATCTATATTTCTAACTATTGTTAGGTGCATTAAATTATCTTTTGTATTATGTCTTGTATCAGATTACTAAGTAGTTACAAGTATGGCAAAATCTCTGAAATTGAAATGATATTTATTCTCCGTTACGCGTGTTCGTGTACATAGATGCCTGTGTAAGTGTAGCTGAGAAACTAAAAAGGTGCACAACCAAGACATTCCCAGTCATCGTTTGGTGAGTTAGACATATAGTTAGAAGTGATGGAATCACAAAGTTAGAACAGATTGAGCCAGGAGATCAAGTCGTTGAATTCAAATGAACAATGAAGTCCCCAGTGATCCCCTTGAAGCTGGAAGGTGGTCGGGTGCTTCTCTTCTGTGTCTGTGAAACCTGCTCGACCGTGACCTGTGTTAGGGTCGTGGACTTCACCTCTGGGGGTCAAGGTAATATTTGCCGGCATTGGCTGTTGAGGGCTTTGGTGATTTATGTTGCAAGCACAAACACACGCGCGTACACACACACACATAGGCACTTCTTGCAACGGTGACCCTAGGGGACGCAATCAGTTGTTATACGGCGATCATATGGGAGACAAATTCATTGTCAGTGCACGTTCACATAATAATGTTCTGTAAAATTTAATATTGCTTCAGGGTTATGGTTAGTGTTTGGGTTAGCCCTAACCCTAACCTCATACAATATTAAATATGAAAAAATTGTATTATTATGTAAATTTACACCAACACTGGATTACGTCCCCTAGGTTGGGCACTTTTAGTAATATTAACTTACAATAGATTACGCCCCCCTAGGGTCGCCGTTGCAAGGAGTGCCTATATATATATATATATATATGTGTGTGTGTGTGTATGTGTGTGTGTGTGGACAAGTTGTAGTTCGCTAGAAGTATCCGAGATAATTAGTGTACAATAATATTTTTCAAGTATACGAGTATACAGATATTGTGCTGAGCCAGCTGAAAATTTGAGAGGACAGAGGAGAGCTTTAAACATTTTGCAAATAATTGGGGGCAGAAGAGAAATGATAACAAATTGCCCCTGTCACCTAAAGCCTTTCTAGAGAATAAAGGCAATTAGTAGCTTGCTTAAATTTCCAGAAACTTTGTAGAAAGATTTTGAAAGTGTTTGGATCTTATGTTGCTTTGAACTACCTACTGTTGTTTGTGTCAATACAAACTGCGACGAGAAAAACCAGCCAGTGGACAGAAAAATCTCATTTTTGTTTATTCCCATTCTATTTCTAACCCTAACATGGATGTGGCTCAAGATTCTTGTTTGATTACTTGGTGATAAAGACGTTTGTGGAAACGTTCGGTTATATCTGTGTTGGGTCATTTCCATTCATATCTTTGTACCTTGTAGTAGTCGTTCGTCGGCTCTTTGGCTAAGTCGATGCGAACGCTTCTTAATGCCGGGGTGCCGGGTTCGATTCCAGCTGCGGGCCATGCGCCTTGCGTTGGTTTCGACAGTGGTATCAAGAAAGCCGACCGTTCAGTAAGCAATAGCAAACCACTGGACGTAAATTTGCCTAGAGAAACCACACAACAGCCAGGGGCTGTTTGGGTTGGTTCTGCAACGTCCTGTAAATGATACGCATCAAAAAGGAAAAAAAGTAGTAGTTCGGGTGAAGTTAATGCGTGTCTTGATGTCAGCTCTGCTGCAATCGCCACTATGTTCAACACTGTTTGTAAAAGTTAAGGACCCTTTTTACATCAGTGGCTCATTGGGTGCATGCTGTTAGATAAATACTTATTGTTATCGATGATTCATTCATTCTCCTGTTTTGCCATTATATGTCATATGGGACTCGTAGTCTCTCTCTCTCCAATATGTTTTGTACTGTCCATTCACTGTGATATCGTGCGTGGAATCCAATCCATCAGCTTTGTATGGTCAGCGTTAGGATTTTTCTTGGACGATTTTTATAGATCACTGAGCAGGTATTGGGACCAACATCACCTGGTACCCATTTTTAGGCTGGTTCGACCTGGGAGCCAAGTTCGTTTAGGAAAAGAAAGAAAAACAAGCCTTGCTGTGGGTTGGAACCCAAGACACTCGGGCAAGTATGCGAGTGTCTACCCACTACGCCATCGCGGTTCCCATAGTTGACTGTAGCAAGGTGTAATGTATATGTGTGGTTTCTGTTTTCAGTGAAGGCTGCTGGCGTGGTATGCCTGATTGGACTGGGCCTCAGCCTGGGCACGTTGCTGCTGTACCGTCTCTACTTCCGCATCATCGTACCCTTCCTGCACAACGTCTGGTCGGCCAAGGGCAAGAACTCGCTGCTTGACGATGAGTACACGCTCTATCTGGTACGTATTTTGTGTTCAATTGCTACAGGTTGTCTCCCCTTAGAGTTAAAAAATGGTGGAATTTCTACACATAAGAAGGGGGATGAAGAGATGCTGAACCACACGTGTTGTTCCATCAGGGTCAGGGGTCATCTTGGTCAAGAACTGTCTACACATCTCCGCCGTTATCCTAGAAACAGATTCTCAATCAGGGGTCTGATGAATGTAGACAGGGTGTGTGTTTCCTTCAACATCGGAATGCATGTGCCTGAGATGCAAGTAACAGCAGTATGTGCACAGATAAGCCAGATATGTAGATCGGATGTCAGCACAAGACCACAGGTGAACAGGCAAACAGGACTTCAGCTGATGTTTACAGCCAAAGAACAAGAACAAGAAAGGGCCATTGTATGTGTTTTCTCTCTCTCTCTCTCTCTCTCTCTCTCTCTCTCTCTCTCTCTCTCTCTCTCTCTGTGTGTGTGTGTGTGTCTCATACATACATACATACATACATACATACATACATACATACATACATACATACATACATACATACATACATACATACATACATACATACATACATACATACATACATACATACATACATACATACATACATACATACATACATACATACATACATACATTCCACACACACATACACACACACTCACTCATACATACATTCCACACACACATACACACACACTCACTCACTCATACATACATTCCACACACACATACACACTCACTCACTCACACACTCACTCACTCACGCACATGCACACACGCGCGCACGTTCTTAAGCTTCTTTAAGGGTGAAAAAAATTTTTTTTTTTGGGGGGGGGTGGGGGGGGGGGGGGGGGGGGGGTTGAGTTGGGCCAAGATATATTTTGAGATTTGTAGCATCAGTCGTAGATCCTGCAGAAGTATCAGACTTAAAATAAGACAGCTATATTGTGCTGAAACATTTATTTGCCTGTCGCCTTGGCAAAGTCAGACCCAAATGATTTCTTGGTCCCTATGTGCATTAACCCACCCCTAGTTTTGCTAATTCAGACTATTTACCAAAACTGTTCTGCCATCGAGGCTACACTGCCATTTTGGGCTAACTGCTCCCAGTGTTGTTTGTCATTGGTATGTAGTGTTTCTGTTATCTGTGTTTTACTGCTGCCTTTAGATTAAGCAAAGAATACTATACTGAACTTGATCAAGCAGGTCTTAGGAGGTGGCTGTGAGACAGGGTTGGTCTTTATGGTTGTCAGCCATGTCTCATTAGAAAGTTTAATATGTAAAAGCCAATCAAGTTTGTTGAGTGAATGAATGAATGCATCCGGATTTAACCTTACTGCTCTTGGGCAATTGCCACAGTGCTATGTCTCTCTACTCCTTAGTCAAAAAAAAAAAAAAAAAAAAAAAAAAAAAAAAAAAAATATATATATATATATATATATATATATATATATATATATATATATATATATATATATATATATATATATATATATATATATATATTAGGGCTGTACCGAATATTCGCTTAGGGGCCGAATAGTGGACCTAATAACTAGTCGGTATTCGGCCGAATAGTTGCGGTCTGGCCGAATACGAATAGTGGGTACCTTACACCCGTTTCTGGACTGGTGGCAAATAAACATATCAAGATTTCCCGCCTTGGTTCATACTGTCAAGCGTTGTCTTTGTGCACCACCTACGAGCGTACCAAGTGAACGTCTGTCTGTTCAGTACAGCTGGAAATATCTTCAGTGAGACAAGAAGCTGCCCTAATGCTGACAACATGGAACAAGTTTTTTTTTTTTTTAAAAAGCTAATGCCGCCTTCATGGATTAACTAAGCTGTCAGTGACAATTTACAAGTTTAGTTACTTGTTATAAAACTAAGAATACTTTCATTTCTATGTGTTAGTTACCACAGACTGACAGATGCAAAACATGAAATGTTTTTAAATGTTTACTATTCTCTATTATATTTTGTGAAGTAAAATTTCAGCGTACATTTGACATTATGAATGTTTTTTTTAGAGCTATTTTATACACGAAAGTGGAAGAATGGGCCTCAGTTTGAATAGTGGGAAGTCAGAAGTAATGATGGTATCAAAGAAAATAATTACTCCTAAATGTGTAATAAAAGTCAATGGTTTTATTTTGGGACAAGTACAGAAATTTAAGTATCTGGGCAAATGGATAACATCAGATGGAAGATGCATTACTGAAATAAGAAACAAAATAGGACAGGCAAAAACTGCATTTAAAAAAAAAAAGAACATATTATGCAATATATCTTTGTCATAGAAGGTTAGAAAAAGAATTCTTGCTTGCTGCATACATCCAGTTTTAACATATGGCTGTAAGTCCTGGACAATCGGTAGGCAGGCCAAAAAGCAACCAAGAGGTTTTGATAGAGGCGGGAGCCCGAAGACAACTACTCACAGACATCAGAAGGAAACAGTCATCATTTTTCGGCCATGTTATAAGATGAGGGAAAATGGAACATGTGGTGACAACTGGAAAGATATGTGGAAGGAGGGATAGAGGAAGACACGAGAGAAGATACTTGACAGTCTTGTTGCATGGTATGGAGGTGTGTCAGCACACGAACTAATACATGCTGCAGGAGATCGCAGATTGTGGCAAGGCATAATCGTCGATGCCAGTCGGCAAAGCACCTGATGATGATGATAATTCACTATTCATATTCGTATTCGACCGAATAGTTGGTCCAGCTATTCGTATTCGGCCGAGTAGTGAAAATAACTATTCGGTACAGCCCTAGTATATATTGATAGTGCAAGTCATCTGATGATCTGTACTCCTTTCAGGGAAAATAGGTAGAAGAAGAACAATGTAACATTCAACATGTATGTTTTCATGATTGTCCACCATCGTTCATTGCTAGATATATGTACAGGTATAAGCGAAATAAGCTGCAGCGTAGTACCCGACAGTCTGCAGGAGCCCTTTTTCACAGATATATTTTTTTTAAATATATTTAAAATGCAGTTTATATATATATATATATATATATATATATATATATATATATAATATATATATATATATATATATATATATATATAATATATATATATATATGAAGAGCTTAGTGCCTTTTTAAGTGATAATTTAATATAATTTCTGTAATTTTGCAAACACATTCTTTAATATTCCTTTTAATCAAAATTAAACAATAGTTCATTATCCATGTCGGCTCTGTGGCTAAGTCGATGTGAACGCTTTCGTAATGCCGGGATCGATCCCAGCTGCGGGCCATGTGCCTTGCATTGGTTTCGACAGTGGTATCAAGAAAGCCGACCGTCCAGAAGCAATGGCAAACTACTGGACGTAAATTTGCCTAGAAAAACCACACAACAGCTAGGGCTGTTGGTTCTGCAACGTCCTGTAAAGGATACGCAACTAACCTCATTATCCATATATTCAAAAGGCGTTTATATTTAAACACTTTCTGGGATTATCCTGTGTCGTTTAAAACAATAGAGGCCTCAGGGCTTTCTATAGCTAAGGTCATCAAGTCTAAATATAGCCGTGCCATCAGTGGTTCTAAGCAAATATTTAAATATATATTGATCATACATCATTGAAGCTTGGCAGGCTGAACATTGTTATCAATAAGGTAAGGTTGTGGGGCGTTGCTTGTTGGTTGTTTGTATCATAATATTCAACCAGTTGTCAGATCTTTTTCTTAAATGTGTGGTGTATTCTAGACACAGCGTTAACATCCCATATATTTATAGTTGTTGTTGTGTTTGTTATTCAGCCTACGCTTGGTTAATATAAATTTGTGTAACATATGGTGTCCTTTCAGTTGGTTGAGAAGGATTCTGTTCATGTTCCATAGTTGTGGATTTCAAGCGGTACGATAGACATGGCTAACGAAGACACCATTTTTAGGGTGTATGGTTGGTTATGTTCTTAGTACACTTGTTTCCATAGCGAGGCGCACACGCCATTTGATGGTTACAGGTTTGATTCCGGCACAGAAACTATAGCTTTGGATTGTTATGTTGTCTGGTGTGTCCTTCTCTCTACTTCTTTCTATGAATGTCAATCAATACATTATCTGTTTGTTTTATTATATAGGTAGGGCAGATAGACGGGAAGTCGAGGATAGGAGTAAGTGCGTTGTTCTTGTAGCCAGGGTCTGTGGTTTCATGTTTGGGCAGCTGCTGTCTGGTCTAGGGTATCACTAGCACAGGGCTGTTCAACTAAGTTAGCACAGGGGCCAGAATGATTAGACTGGGGATCGTCACGGATCAGAGGCCCGAGCCACGGTGTAGACAGGTGATTAATACAGTTCAGCTGGCAGTGATCCGCGGGACACTCGTTAGGCTCCTCGAGAAGGATTTCACAAACGGGTGCTTCTCTCTCTTGACCCTTCTCCTCTTTGACTGTTCCTGGCTCTCTCTGCCTCTTTGTTAGCCTCTCGATCTCGGTGTCAGTGGCAGTGCCTCTTTCTTTTGTGTCTTCCTGCATCTCTTCATTCACCTTTCTCCCAACTATATATCGCTCTTATTCACACACGGATTATACCCAGGCATTTAACAGAACATACATACTAGAGTTTTCGCTTCTTCCCACTTTAAACCAGTAGGGTCTGTATAGGCCAGCCACTAACTGTAAGTTGTTGTAAGAATGCGTCAATTGGGTACGTGATTAGGTTCTTTCGTGATAAGTCACCCCAGGTGACGTCACGGGGACAGTCCAATATTTTATAGGACGGTAAGACAGTGTTTCCCGCGTTTGTGATGCCTTTAACTACCCCAAAACATCTAGAATTGGACATTTATAAAACTCCTTTTCTATGTGGATTTGAACGCAAGACAGTCGAGCCGGCAGTGCAGCATACAGCCCCCGCGCTACCACTACACCTATGGTGTAAATTATTTAATCTCTCTCTCTCTCTCTCTCTCTCTCTCTCTCTCTCTCTCTCTCTCTCTCTCTCTCTCTCTCTCTCTCTCTCTCTCTCTCTCACATATTACT